TCCTTTAAAAATAGATTTGTAGCTTTGCTGTCCTGCCTGTGAATCAATGCTATGAGGCTGAAGTAAAACTGTCCTAATTTAACTTTTGATCCAAAGTCTGGACTTCTGCCATTGAGCAGCAAAAGTATTTGTCAGGAATTAGGTACTGCATTCCCAGACCAACAGAGAGGCACAGCCAGGTGATAGCTAAAAGATGGGCTTTTGAGAGAATAAAATGAAGACACCTGTTAATAAATCTAGAATTGCGTAGAAATTCAGTACGATTTACAATTAAAGGTGCCTTAAATTCCATTTTAGCAGACATAGCCTTTTTCTTAAGATATCCATTAACGCATATATACATCAATTCACATATATCCTGTATACAAAATGTAATGAAAAGATCAAAGCAATGTATTCAAAAGAAAATGGACTAAAGTCATCTTTACAATATTTAAATTTACCATTCTCGTGTATGTGTTACCTCCCAGCCTGTTTTTGTATTATTGCATACTTTTTTCATTAGATTCTACCTCCTGTAAATTCCCAAACAGTCTGTTGTAGGAAGTACATTGAGATTGTAGGTATTGTGGACACACATTATGCCAAAGATCCTGTTCTGTATACACAGAAAAGGTCTACACAGTATCAGCAAAGTGCAGGGAAAGAAGATGTTAACAAAAACCTTGTGAATACCAGATTCATGTAATGCATATTTTCAGCTTATTTTCCCCAAAATTTTGAAGATTCTGATTCAAACTGCCAAGCAGCCAGTTGTTTGCCCCTATATGTGACAGTTTAATGGTGATCTTTGCGTTTCATTCTCATATATTATAAAATTCCTGAATGCTCTTATGCACACTAAAACAACCAACCAATCAACCAGCCCCCTACCCCTCCAAATCCTCTTTAAGCCTAGAATGGACGTAGGGGGTGAATATTCTAAAAGATGTATATATGACAATGTTTCATTACTATCTGGAAAAGGATCCTTAGGACAAAGACATTAAGAATGTTAATCCTGTTCTTATAATATCTTCCTAAAATGCTGTGCAGTAGAAAATATTTAATTAGCTTTGTAAAATTGTTAGCAAAACTTAAAAGCCCTGAGCTGAGGGTGGAGGGGGAACTGTCTGACCGTTACCATAAGTAGATTATCTTTTTGCCCTTTGAACTCATGAAATAGTAATAATGAAACAAATTCTACTGTAGTCACCTGTCAAAAATGACCCAAATGTGAGAATAAATGCTTGTGCTATAATGAGTGTCCCTGGTGTTGTAAACGCATTCGTAATATAAAATTGTAGTTAAAGAGAACAAAGCTTATAATAATTAAGTTTGGTACCTTGTGTGCTTCTTGTTCTATAGCTGCAATGGTAGTAGGTACTATGTAGAGAAACTATATCATACTGCATTATTTCATGCATTAGGATAAATTCCAAACTACGTTAGCCTGATGAGCTGCAGAAAGGATGCAAATATTTGTCCCGTGGCAAGTAAAAGTATCCCACTATAGGAAGGTACCTCCCAATAGCTAACTGAAAAATTTTGCTGCAGGTCACACTTTTCAGTTACGTTCACTTTTCAGTTCTGTAGCAATTCCTTTGCCATAGAGCTTCGTTCTCCCGCTGCCACCATTGTGGAGTGGCTGGAGGAGCTCAGGTTCTAGTGGGGGAAGCTGGTCTCAGTGTACTGTGTATGAACAGAAAGTTATACAGGATCGGATACGGATGGGCCTTATCTTTCAAGGCCTTGTTTGGGGGATGTGGAAGAGATCCCTTCTGACCGTCACGCTTATCCTCCTTACTAGTGTGCTGCCATAGCTCACAACCCATGTATATCTTTTAACTGTTTGCTATGGGGCATTGCTAAGAATTCCCTGCTATAGTATGGTGTTCCCATTTTAAATGCTGTATTTGGCTGACCACAGGGGCCAGCATCATAGGCTGTCTGTGCCTGAAGAAAGGGTGGTCCCAGTGGCCATGAAATACCTGCAGAAGACGGCCGTGGAGACACCCAACCCTTTAGCCTAGGGTGTTCAGAAGGGTGCTTTCATAGGCCTGGAGATCTTTTGTTCTTCTGCAGGCTGGTGGTTGTACAGACTGTTTTCTTTTTGTGCTTTTAAATATTATTAAGCAAACTCTCTCTGTAAAATGCTGGGTTTAGGGTATGTTTTTTCTACTGTTTTTTATCTTTCTTCTTTTTTCTTTAAAAAGCATCCTTGTGGTAGATTGAAATGCCTGAAAACTCCCCTGGAAAGTTGGTGTCACTTATAAAGTAGGAAAACCAGACAATTCAAAATTCAGACTTGAATACAATAATCAGTGAGCATTTGACGACTGTTATCAATACTTGTCTGTGACATTACAGTGTTCTCCCTAGGGGGTTTGATTGCTATTTTTTATTCCTTTAGTTGATGAAGAATCAAGTTATATTCCAGTTTAATTCATTCTATTACATGACTGTCCATAAAAAATTTTTGCACTACTGTAATACAAGTAATAAATTCTGCCTCTACTGGTAAAGCTGCTACTCTGATACTATATTCATCTATTACTAAGCTATTCTTAGATATTCTGAGATGGTCTTAGTAGCTTCTTGTACCACTTAATTAAGAATCTTTATTATTTTCATTTACAATTGCATTCCATATAATAATTTTTAGACTTCTGAATAGCCTATCTGAATTCATTAGTCTGCTTTAAATTGAAACCATATATTCAGAAGTAAATGATTGAGCCCGTTATTTTACCATCATGACCAGCTCAGACACCAATGTCTTTCTGGACGTTACTTTCACTTGGTGATCCAAATTTTCTAACTAGGCATTAAAAAAAAAAATCTATTAAGGATTTCATATTACTTTTAAATGTTAGTAGGAGTCCATATGGCACAGTAGAGTTGAGCACTGGATCTGGAAATTTTTGGATACGTATGTTCTGTTTCCTCTACAATTGAATGACCTGTTTCTCAAACTTGGAAAAAAATGTTACATTTCACTGCCTCAGATGATACCTCTCTAAAACTATTACAGTAATATCTACTTTGTTTTGTTAAGAGCTCTAACTGAAGAGCATAAGAAAAATTCTCTTAAGCTCTTTTGAAGTAAGATGTCTAACATGGGTGGGGATGTGAGGCAATGGGTGTTTCTGCAAGTATCTTTGTTATTAACGTGTGACTGGGATAAGAACAACAAAAAGTGTATTTATTTTTAAGTTTGACAATTAGTGATCGTTTCCTAATTTAAACAAATAGCTGACTTTATTTCATTACCATGTGTTACCGTTTTTTGTATTTTGAATATAGTTTTGCCTTCCAATTTTGACAGCCTATTTTTGGGTTCAGAAAGAGCAGAAGTTCATTATTGATAAGCTGGCTAAAAGGCATGAACAGGCATTTCAGCTCTGCTCTGACTGTGGCGTGTAGAGCTTTCCACCTGTCGTCTACACATTAAACTAACTCCCACCTCAGTGTTTGTCTTTTATTGCTGTTTGGCTAGAGGTGGGTTTTTTATAGCACGGATGCTGTAACAAAAGCAGATGTTTGGAAAATATGTTGACAGCCATGGAATTGGTATTATTTAGAAATTCTTCAGTAATCATTCACCTCAGGCCAAAAAAAGATGTTGGCTTCTGTGGTTGTAGCATTACTACTAAGAAAAATTCCTAATAATACTCCTAAAGGTATTGTTCTTTGGGATGGGAAAATGGTTTGTTGGTCTGTTTGTTTTTAATCACTGTGAGTTATTAGTTTAATCTATTTCTATCAAACTATTTTCATTTTAGTGCTAGCTAACATTTATATTGCATAGAGCTTGGTTTTCTGTTACATTTTTTTAAAACATCTACATCCGTAATATTTTTAACCTTTCTTTGCAGTGTTTGCTAGTTCTGAGCCTGTGCCAGGATTCCAGGGAGACACCCTGCAGTTAGCTTTCATCGACCTCAGACAAGTAAGACACTAGTTGTTGTTTTTTATCCTACTAATTTCCCCTTTTGACCAATGCTGAAGTTATTAAATTCAAGAACCTTTCATGTTTTTGCATTCCCATGTAATTAGTTTTGAAAAGTGGTTATTTGAAGTGTTATTAGTGGCACTATGCCCTGTAATTTAGCATAAAACTGTTTCTCCAATGTGTTGTTAGGGGGCACTGTGCTACTGGTGGTACTGCTACATGGATATAAGATTGAATTTTGGTCCTGACAATTTTGTAAAGATCCTGTGACGCCTTTTTGCAAGAGTGTACATGTTACCCTGGTGTGTGCTGGTCTGATTCCATTCTGAGCAATTGCTCCTGTCTACAAAACTACTCCCTGGAGAGCAGAATTGGGCATGGTATTATTTAGCATTTCCTTTTCTTTAATTTGTTACATAGAATTCTTTAAAACTGTTAGAAAGCAGCTTTAATCCAACTGGCTGATCTTTATTCTCTATCAAATCTAATTTTAAATGCCTTAATATTGAAAGCACTTTTCCACAGTTCTTGCCAAAAGGAAGGTTTTTCCCACACTAAAATCTACTTATCTTAATTTCATGTAGTTATTTCTATTACCTGCTCTCTGTAAATTCTGACAGTATATCCACCGATAGCAATTTATTTTCAAAAACTTTTCATACTTGAAGTAAGCTTTCAGAAAGGATTTATTACTTCACAAATTGTGAGTATAAGTGTAATTTAAATAGTGAAATGAATCATTAACTGCACATGGAGGGTCTTTAACTTTCTGCAGATGTTGGTGATATTTTTCAGCACCATTATGAGCCTGTCAAAGTCATCAGAAGAGAAATGTAGAAAGAATTCCGTACCAAAATATCTATATAGTAAGAATATTTTTGCTTTTAATAGTTTAGTAGGTTTTTCACAGCAAGATAATGAAAAGACATTTTGGAAGGGAAAATTCCTGAGGCAAAAGTATTCCAGTTTCTCCTAATAGTTAGAAAGGACTTCATTGAAGTGTCTTTTTAAATGAAAAAGTTAAAAAGGTAGAGTTGTTTGTTACATTCTCGCAATAATATAACAATGAACAATATCTACAGTGGGATAAGCGTGGACTATGTGAGGAAGATACAGGATCGTGGCCGTAAGATTTGTTCATGTAATACTTGTACATTAGGAGTTCCAGAATTCAGTATGTAAAGATGTATTCTGCCAGACTTCAAATACCACAAGTCTTGCCTTGACTAGTAGCCTTCCTCTTTTGGATTCTTCTTTATTCTCCTTTTATTATCAATGTTAGAAGTGACTAAACATCTTCCAATTTGTACTAAGTCAGTTTAGTTGAAGGGAAAGGATGTTGAGAGATTTTGGTACCATTTCTGTCATACACTTAAGTGGTATAAATCCTTGCAGAGAGAGCCTATGTTTGTTTCAAGGGAAAACGTGATTTCCAGCTATGCAGAATGGCAGGGTGTACACATACTTGCTACAGGAAATAAATAATATTTTTGTATGTTTTAAGCACCAACTGTCAAGCATGTCACATAAATAGGGATTATGTTGCTTATGATAGCTCTCAGTTTATGTGAGCAACTTGTATTTAGAATTCTCTTGATGCAAGTAACACTTTAGAGAGGATGCTCTGTATGCCATGGGAAGCTAATCAATTTCAGATACTTTATAAACAGCAAAAGTCTGGGCAACTCTCTTTATTGGGTTGCAATTGGAGCTTGTAGATGTAGAATAGTTCTAGTATATTTGTTCTGGTTTGGTTTTTACTATATTTTTGCATGCCTCACCAAAAGGTATTGCAAACACACATTAAAAACATTTCCATTTAGTAAGGATTTGCAGTGTTTTCCCTCTCTTCCTTATTTGTGATCCATTTCTATCTTAATAGGGTGGGTGACAGTTCTTTTCAAGAATACTTAGAAAGGCAACAGAGCCTTTTTCAGAAAGTTCTTATAAAAGGTCATGCTTCTGTTTTTTAGTTTGAATTTGATACTTCTTCGTGAATTGCAGGATATGAAAGATAAGGAAGTAGGTCCAGTGGTCAGGTTTTACCTGCCCACCCGGACTGTGCCCTGAGGTCAAACTCCTGATATTGGCTGTTTGGTACAGAGGAGCTGATGACAGGTAGGGGCTGATACAAGGGGGAAAGCTTGAACCATATCAAAGCTAAAAGGCAGGAGATTTGGGACTCAGTGAGAGACTGTAGCTAAAAGATGGATCAGCAGGATTGCCCTCTTCTTAAAAAGCAGCTGACCTGCAAGGGAAAAGACTTTATCGTCCTGCCAATCACATGGTTGCTAATGGAAGCCAGTTATCTCAACAACAGCTTACTCTCGCTCTGTTGTACTAGGGCAATGTGTAAGATTAATGAGGATTGGGCAGTAGAATATTGTAGCACATTTTACTAAAGAAGTAAAGTCACTTATAAGGAGCCAGCTCGGAAGACAGAGAGGGAAGAGCTACACTTTGATGATTACCATGGGGGGAGGAGCAGCTTTGAAAAGAATTGCCATAGGTATTTTCATCCTAACAGTTCCTGATCCTCCGTCTTTCCTTGAAGACAATGTATGGACAGCATGTTGTCCCCAGCAAGCTCACTTCTTTTCCTTCTTCCTTTCACAGATGTAGAAGAGCAAACAGAAAAAGAAACAGTTGGCATGAGAAAGAGTTGCTTCTAAGAAGAGTACAGTAGTTAGTAGCAGGAAGCTCTAAGAGGCCAGGAATCACGAAGGGGCAGGCACTTACCAATGTCCCCTTTGATAAGCCACCTCTTTCTCCTTATACTGTCCCCTCTTATGCTCTTGTCATACTTAACATGTTCCTTAAAGATCTTAGTAATCTGTAGAAACCCTAATCAATAAAGATTTTTGTGCTATTCCCGTAACTATAGTATCTCAGCATCTTACAGAGGTGACTTGGCTAATCACACATAGTGCATACTGATAGAGAACTATACCACATGGCCATGATCATCTAGAAACTTGCAGCTCCAGCTAGTGCAGCAGCTCCTAAAGCAGCATGCAAATTGAGATAGATTCATGGTTCTGTACAGCTGCAGTAATTGTGTCATGCCTCATGCCACTTGTCTTAGCGTATGACCTGAGGTCACACCTACGTGCACCCTTTCATCCCACTTACTTAAAGCCACTGAGGGGCAGGCAAGCACAGCAAGGCGATTATCAAAGTGGCATGTGCTGCTTTAAAGAGACTGGTCTCTGGCATCTCATGACGATGACCCAGCCCTCCTGCGACCTGCATCGCTCTCTGAACATAATCTGTTGCTACTGTCTATAGAGGGAGCCTGGGTAAATGGTGCAGTGGCCCAAAGTGAGGTGGAATGAACTTTGGGGATTTTGCTACCAATTCAGATCCTAGGTCAATTGGAATTAACCTTCAAAAGTAAACAGGTCTTAGTTCATCCTACTTGAATTAGTCTCTGAGAAAGCTCAACCTCCGACATGAATTAGTTTTGTCCTGGTTACGATCTGTTCTTTAGTGCCTGAAGACTAGGGTTACAATTCTGGAATGTGAGGCAGTTTCCTGGATGTCCTGGACACTTAAGTACTGTGAGGAAAAGGCCTGAATCTTACAACTTGTGCATTATTCTTTGGAGAGCCAGCGTAGTGTGTAGCGGACAGGAACGATAGCCTCATGGTAGCCTGAGAGGTCAACGGACTACCTAGGCAAATTTCCTGATTCTTAACCAACTGGGTGGTAACAAATGCCTATTCTCGAAATCAAATCATTGCCTGCAGAGTTATAACCTAAGCTGCAAATGTAGCTTGACTCTCTTTACTTTTGACTTCACAAATTGTTTCTAGCATTTCTCTCTGCCACGAGCACTGCTTCAGTTTCAAACAGACCTTCTTCCTCTACTGTCTGATTTCTGACAAGTACTCAGCTAGCTTGATGATTGTGGAATTTCCTTGTTTTGCCAGGGGTGAGGAGAACATAATCATATGCTGTTGGTGTTCCTAGAGTTAGGCAACCACCGTAGCATGGTAACATAGAGTTTACAGTCTGATAGCAGTGTCCCCCAGTCTGGGAGACCAAGGGCTGTGAACGACAAGGTCCATAAATTCTGCATAGATATGGGAAAAAATTCTTGAAGGTTTTCAGCAATTTCTGTTAACATTTTGCTAACATTAGAGAGAAGTTAAACATAAAGTCATAATGCAATGAATGTAATTAATATACAGAATAATGTACCACGGAAACATTAGAGGATATATTTTTGTCAGACTTTGTTTATGGTGTGTGTAAATAAGCATGTGGATAAGCACTTCTATGAGCTCAAGTTATTGGTAATACACAATATGTATTCCTTCTAAAAATTGATACCTGATATTTAAAAGTATAACACATTTTCTTCTGATTCCAAAGCATAATGGAAATTACATTGATAGTTTCTTGGGTTGCTTGTCCATTTACTTTGTAATGCATTTTCTGGTGTGTTTTTGGTGAGAAATACTGCTAACCTTCTGAACTATAGTGTTGCATGCAACAGATATAAGTTTATTTGAAGGAGAATATTCTTACTAGTACTTAGTAGAGTCCTCCCCTTTCTTCTTTGCTTCTCATTCATCACTGAGAGATGATACTGTCCTCCTGATAAACTCAGAAGTAACTCATTGTAGGTAGGAACTGTGTAACAGATCACTGGGCTTCAATCCCAGCCACAGGATTGTCTGCCACTAAAGGCAGGCTGACAGCTGTCTTTCCCACTGTTTTGTTTGCAGTGTTTAATTTGAATTCATTTCCTGTGGTAGTAACTGCATTTCAGCTCTGGCTTGTCTCTGATTCCCCCAACATGCAGCATGCCGAAGTTCTCACCACCAGTGTTCCCTGTGGAGAATGCTCTTGAGCCCTTCAGTAGACCTCAGAGAATAAGTTGCAGCCTGTTGCAAGCCTATCCACCATGACTCTTGGAGGTCCAGGGCTGTAAAGGTGTGCTGTGGCTCCCTTCACAGGCTGCCAGCCCACATAGTGCCTAGGCTTTGAAA